TCTTCATTACCCATTTAAGCCGTCTCCAGCCATTACTATACAGTTTGTTTGTTTGAATTTCGCGCAAAGCTACACGAGGGCTATCTGCGCTAGCCAGCCCTAATTTAGCAGTGTAAGACTAGAGGGAAAGCAGCTAGTCATCACTACCCACCGCCAAGTCTTGGGCTACTCTTTTACCAACGATTAGTGGGATTGACCAAAACTTTATAACGCCCCCACGGCTGAAAGGGCAAGCATGTTTGGTGTAACGGAGATTCGAACCCGCGACCCTCAGATTGCGAGTCGTGCGCCCTAACCACCTGGCCATGCCGGGTCACACTACTATACAACCCAAAATTAATACTGAATATCATACAACTTAATTAGAAACTAACAGAAGCGATAACAAGGTTTTTTTTTCCCGAAATGAATTAGTAATAATAATAATATTCGACGCCAGTAGCCTGACGAAGTTATCTGACAAAAAGCTTTTACTCGAAATATTGTAATAATTTTCTTAACATTTCTTAGGTCCAAAGTTTTATTTGTTCTATTTTACCATTGCGTATTGTTTTTCTAATTTTGTTTAAAATTTTACGAGCGTACTAAGGAAAAGAGCGTATTTTCTGTAAAATAATTTATTTCAACGGAAATTTTAAGTGGTGCAATCGTTTTCTTGCCTGCTTATTAGAAAAAAGACGAACAGCGTTGTAATAAACTAGCAGTTATAAAATCAACGAGCTAATTACCCCCTCACCATTATAAAGTGACTTATCATTTCATTTGTTTTAATACTTAACACTGGTCTAAAACCAATATTAGAATATTTCCGGAAAAGCTTGGATCACTTTTATTTCCAGTTCACGTAAATAGTGCCCTGTTGCTACTTACGTGAACTATGGAACTTATCAGTTGTTGTTAAAATCTTACGTTAAGTCGTTAGCATTACTATTAAAAAAAAAAACTTTAAATTTTTCACATACCGTTGCTTTCGAATTCCTGTTCCAATAGCACAAACAGATGAGAATGGCGACCCCTTCCTCGTGTGTGGGATACAAGTCGTCAGAAGGTTAAGCTTCCCCCCCCCCCACACACACAATTAACTGCTCAAGGACGCGACAGCATCTAACTCGCAACCACCTGGCCACAAGTCTAATACGCGAAGTCTGTTTCACAAATCTATACAAGGGTAACCTATGTGTAGCTGTCCCTAATATTGAACTGACAGACTATAGAGGAAAAGCAACTGATCAACAGTATCCATGGCCACTCTTTTCTGATCGAATAGTTGGATTTGACAGTCACTCTTATAGCGCATACACGGCTCCAAAATGTGAAGCGCGTTTTAGAAAAATCGTGTCACAAACCACGAATTCTCGGATTCACAGTCTGGGTGCAATAACTAACAAAACACCCTCTCCTGTTGCCGAATATTTTTTCAGAACTTGATCCTTTAGTATAACCGTCTTTAAACATTTTTTTTCACGTTTTAGTACCTGTTTTATATAACCGTCTTTAAAATTTTTTTTCATGTTTTAGTACCTGTTTTATATAACCGTCTTTAAAAATTTTTTTTCATGTTTTAGTACCTGTTTTATATAACCGTCTTTAAATATTTTTTTTTTCATGTTTTAGTCCCTGTTTTATATAACCGTCTTTAAACATTTTGCTTGCTGTGGTGAGAAGTTAATAAAATTTTAAGAAAGCCATGACACGTGTAACTCACTACGGTAAACTAAAATTTAATGTTTATTGTTGTCAAGTTTGATCAACAATATTTTTGCTATTTCCGTAACATTCGGTAAAAGGTAATGGTGTAGTCAAAGGTTAGCAATAAATAATAAATGAATAAAAACATGCAGCCTAAAAAAAACCCACTGAATTGATTCATAAAATATTCAAACCAAAATCTCAAAATAATTTACGTTGTGGTATCCACGTCATAGATAAACCTCTCTATTGTTCTAAATTTAATCCTTAACTATTGAACTGGAACTTAACTATGATCTGGAACCCACTCTGAGACTAATAATGGTTGGAGATGGCTTGAATGGGTAATGAAGAAAAACTTTAATACAAGTTTAACATAACAGCAAATA